AAATAATAATAATAATAATAATAATAATAATAATAATAATAATAATAATAATAATAATAATAATAATAATAATAATAATAATAATAATAATAATAATAATGGTGGTTAATTTATAAGGCAACTATATTATATACTTAGTTATGCAGTGATGTTTGGTTTTCTGCTTAGTCAGTTTACTCAGCATTAAAATAGTTTTTTTTTTGGTTAGAATAGGTCGGTCTTTATTATTTTTATCATCTTTTTAAGCCCATTGAGACTTCGGTTTAATGCGCTATATTAGGTCCCACAACATTCCATTACATTATTGAGACTGACTGGCCATAGTGCACAAACCGAGAAAATGTGATTTTTCGTATTAACGAGCAGACAAACTTCAGGCAGTTATGAGAAAACGCGCACGAGGCCGGCTAGATGAACCAGACTAGTGTAGGTCTAAAACATAATTACACAGTATATTTCCTAAATTTCCGCAGGCATAGCGACACCCTTCTTGCAGTATAAATTGGAATAGGTCTATACACATGCATGAAGTGCGGAATAGTTAGTAAAACATGTTAGACCAAAAATTATAACAAATATTCTTGACATAAAATAAATTAAATTATGACAAATTAATGGTCGATCGACTCTCATTAGGCTAAAATAAGCCGCTACCATATGAAAGCCCCCGCCCAGATAAATTTATCGTTACCATTACTAATTATCATTACATACATAACAGTTAGCAATATAACAATATAATAATAATAATAATAATAATAATAATAATAATAATAATAATAATAATAATAATAATAATAATAATAATAATAATAATAATAGTGTAGTTTTATATAGCGCATATATCCATCTAATGTAAGATACTCAGGCCGCTTGAAATGTGGACTAGGAACTCGACCAATAACTTTCTTCGCCCTTAAGGGTCCCTTCATGTCTGTGCTACCTGGTAACCCGGTACCAGTAACAATATTCACTGTATTCTCCAATGAATAATATTTTAATATAAAACCAGAAAGACTATGAGTTGCAACCTTAGAAATAATACAATTGGAATAGTTTCAATGAGTCTTGAGACATCATATCTAATAGGTATTGTTGCAAAACATGATTAACTTTTGGCATTTGATATTACGTCTACCTCGAGTGTAGAAGCTAAGTATTTGAGAAAAAGGCACAGTCGTCAGGTGTCATACTTTTAAAATAAATTGGTAACTGATTATTTTTTAATTTGGTAATGATTCGAACAACCTTTTCTGTAACTTAAGAAGCCTGGCAGTATGGTGACACATGCTTATTGATTATACAGAGGAAGTTAAAATCATCAACAGTTTCAATTTCTGTACCTTCAATTATTAATTTTGGGAGTTCTATCTTATTTTGGGGTTCATAAAAAAACTTGGCATTTTTAGTTTTCTTTATATTGAGAGATAATTTATTTAATTTTAACCACTGCAACACCTTACTAAACTTTAAACTGACATTGTCATTTGTCATATACCTGTTTCCAGTATCATTATTAAACCCTTTAAGTGTGCTTAAGAGAGTAGTATCATCATCATATATAAGTGCTTTAAAAATGACTGGCAAAGGAAAGATCATTATTATATACAATAAATAGAAAAGGACCATGATCCTTGGAATACTCCAGTATCAATAGTTGTCATTTCGGATCGTGTACTCTCAAACTTAACATATTGACATCTCTTAGTTAGATAACTTTTACAAAGAGCAGCACCATTTACACCATAATATTTAAGCTCATGCACTAAGATGTCAAATGCCTTGGAAAGGTCCAGATATAATATTGTAGGGTATTTGTTTGTTGTCTAGTAACTGTTTCCTGTACAGCTAATTCAGTCGATTGTTTCTCTCGGAAGCCATACTGAATGTTATAATTGAAAATAATAATGCAGTTGAT